CTCTCTCTCTCTCTCTCTCTCTCTCTCTCTCTCTCTCTCTCTCAGTTATCTCAAGTGGTATCATGCTGGACAAATGAGCGGATGGCTCAGGTTCGAATCTAAGAATGGGCGGTCCTGAACTCGAGTCATTCGCTGTTTTCACAGCTTTCAACTTGTTTGACTTGGTCCTATCGGAGACGAACGTTAAATTCGGACATCCTGCCTCTTAATAACAACCAAACGGAATAGTGTTGATAGGGGCGTTAAACCCATGTGCTTACTTTTACTTGCAAAATTCAGAGATTGCTGAAAAGAGAAAATTAAGTCCCTCTACCTACAAAACCTTTTACATAAAATTGCTCAACATTCAACCAACATCACCTAAACAAAATAGCTACCTCAGAATTGCCAAGTTCTATCTGACATTTTGGGGCTGTTTTGAATTACTAAGATCATGAGGTCAGAAAGGAATAAATGCTCTATTTGCTACTATAAAATCGTAAGAATATTCGGAGTCGTTATCAAGATATTCAAAAAATTCCACTCGAAAAAGATTGACATGTGAAACTAAAATTCAGACTTCAATTTTCTCAAAACTAGGCATTGAGCACTTTGTGATTCTGATGTAGCGGAATGATGACACATAAGAAATACATTTTTTTTAAAAATGGAGTTGCTTACGATATTCTGCAAATTGTTACTGGCACTGGAGTCACGTGGGTCAGGGGAGTTCTCCCAGAGCTGAGCCAGATGGCGGGAACCGTAGAGCGAGTCGGTGGCGGTCCACGTCTGGAAAGCCTCCTCACCGTCAAAGAAAATGTACTGGAGGGTGTACTCCTGGGGGAGAAAGGAGCAACATGAAATATAGAATACATTTATAACGTAGATCTTGAACATCTAACACTCGCTAGCAAAATCGAAGGCAAACAGGGGTAGGCCCCGAGCAACCTAATTAGGGAACCTGAACAAATGGGTAACGGGGAAAGATCAGGGAAACGAAGCTTTTATAAGAGCATCCGAGCAAAGGAATGAATGGAGAACCATGATCGCCGATGTCTGTCGCAGATCTGGCACTGGATGAATTTATAACGTCAATGGCCTTGTGGTTAAGCTCTTGGATTAGCAACCGTATGGTCGTGGGTTCGAATCCCGTCAGGGGCCGACGTTGTGTCCTTGGGAAAGGCACTTTACACGAATTTTCCTCACTTCACTCAGGCGGAAATAAGTACCTGGCTATAAACAGTGAAATATCTTGTCATTTTGTTAACGTTAGAGCGCATGAATCCCCAGCTTGTACTGTATGCTTCCCCCGGGGTCGAGAATGTCTCTGGGTGTTCTCAGAGGTTCCACTGGGCTATAATAGTAGTTGTAAAGCGTATAGAGCGTGCTGTAAAGCGTGGAAAAGCGCTATAGAAATGCAATTATTATTACTATAATGGGTATGGCAACATGTGGAACGGCAGGTGATGACAGAGAGGGCTGGAGGGTCATCACACGACAACCTTTGAGTCAGATCGACACCTGCAGGTATTCCAGGTAATGTCTTTACATCAAATCACTTGTTGCAGCAGAAGATTAATCGCCGTATTATATCTGATGCATACTCGCACGCAAGCAAGCACACGTACACC